ATTTTCTTCTTTCACTATTTTTCTCCAGTTTCGTCTTCGGCCAGCAGAAGCTGCACATACCCATTTCGAAGCTGCCATCTATGAAGCCGATGAGCGAGCTGGGGATATCAAAGCGCCTTTCAATCTGGGTGATGGAGCTCTTCATGTAGGCTCCACCAAAGGCTTTGGAAAAATACACAAAGGCCAGCGAGGCCAGGAAGAGCTGCAAGAACAACAACAAGCTGTTAGAGCAGAGCCCAGCAGAGTCCAGTTGATTAGATCAGCCCGGCGGATTCTTTAAATGACTGCCGCAGATAAGATGATTCATTTGTTGGGATAAGGAGGCTGTCGTGCAGGGAAATGAGGCTTTTATATGACAGGATGTAATTTTAGCTCATGGTAGATTAGACTCACACAGGACACTTTAACACATTTTACAGCTCTTTGAATTTACTTTAAACATGATGTAATTGACATTAAATGAGATTACAGTCCTTAGAAATGCACAAGAGGAGACCAGCGCTGTTTAAAACACACAAAGGACGACATCAGTTAATCAGTTGTTGGTCATTTGTTGCTCTGTTAGTCATCAGTCAGTATCAGGGCTGCAGCTAACGTTGGTTTTCTTTTTTTTTCTCCATGAAAATGTCAGAAAATGGTGAAAACGTGTTTTATAGTCCATGTTTTTCTTATGTTCAGTTGATTTATGTGATTTTCAGTCACAGAGGAGGAAAGAAACCAGAAAATATTGACTTTTAAGAAGCTGGAATCAGAGAATTTTGACTTTTTTTGTCTCAAAAAATTAGTCAAACTGAGTCTTCAATTGTCAAATTAGCTTCCTTGTTTGTTTTCAGGTCAGATCAGCAGCTTTAAGTCTGTCTAAGTTTGACTTTAGACCAACTATCTTTTACTTTTCTTCTGTTTTTGATTCATTTTTCGTGATTACCTTCCAATTTTGTTATGATTTCATCCATTTTACTAAATTACTATTCATATTATACAATTCATTGATATTAGTAAACCAGTGAAATTGTGTTATTTAAACCTAATTGCGTAAAAACAGGTTGATTAGAAAAGAAAGTTGCTGTTTTGAGACTTTCAATAAAACTTTTTGAATTGACTGAACTTAAGAAAACAAGTTCAATAAATAAAAGATATTAAGTTGAATCAAAGAGTCCCTCAGACGGTGGTTATTCTGTCTTTTCTTTTTACAGTTTTCTATGTTTTAAGAGTTAATTTACTTTATTTAACATGGAGAACTCAGAGACGTGGAGTCTATGAACTCAGCTCTAACCTTTGTCGTGGTTTGATTCGGTTTGATTATTATGACAAGAAACAACCATAACTTAATTCAACAAAGACACAAAGCAGGTTTCAACCATGTTTGTTGTCTCAAACTACAAAAAAAAAAAAAAAGTCTCTGGGGAGTTTTAACTCTCGAACAATGCATTGTGGGAAGTCGGCTGATATCCTCGTGCTGCTTATTGTAAACGCTCAGCTGTTCATTCATTCCGTTTCCAGTCAACATTCCTCAAGTCACGAAAGGTTTTTATGAGTTCAAACAACTAGATACGAGCAAAACCCATATTTATAAATTCAATCAACTAGAAAACATGAATTCATTTGACTTAAGTTTGTCGTGATGTTTAACGATGTATAAAAAAAAATACCGTTAAGTAGCTCCATTACAGGAATAAAATAATTATTAGATGTATGTCGTCTGCAGAAATGGTAATCTAGTGAAGAGGTTAACCTTTAGTCTC